TTTTTTGACAGAGTCTCACTCTGTTACCCAGGCTAGAGTGCAGTGATGTGATCTTGGCTCACTGCAACCTCCACCTCCCAGGTTCGAGTGATTCTTCTGCCTCAGCCTCCCAAGTAGCCGGGATTACAGGTGTGCCCCACCACACCCAGCTAATATTTGTATTTTTAGTAGAGACGGGGTTTCACTCTGTTGGCCAGGCTGGTCTGGAACTCGTAGCTTCAAGTCATCCATGATCTGCCTGCCTCAGACTCCCAAAGTGCTGGGATTACAGGCATGAGCCACTGTGCCTGGCCTCCCACCTCTTCTTCTGTTATCACATCACTGCTGCTGGGAAAGGTTTTCTGATTTTAAGGACTCTTGTAATTAGATTGGAGCCACTTACATGAGCCAGGACATTCTCCCCGTCTCAAGGTCCCTAACCTTAATCATGTCTACAAAGTGCCTTTCACCATGCGAGGTAACACAGCCACAGGTTCCAGGGATGAGTGTGTGGACGTCTTTGGGATCTCTTATTTTTCCTACACCCCACATTCTCATTCTCAAACATTTTCAAGTGGGTTTCCATTTTCTTTACTCCAAGATATGACTCCAACCTCCTCTCCAGTCTTATCTTCCGCTGTTCTCTTTTATAATCTCTGCTCCAGCCAAATACTCTCAGAATATTTCCTATTCTGTGTGGCTTTTCACGTATTTTTTCTTCTGCCTAGAGTGCCAGCTCTGTTTATTAAAGTCCTGTTGATGGTTTAAGGCTTCCCCAGCTCTCTTCTTCCCTCCTGTTTACCACTCCCCTCTACCTACTGTCAGTGAAACCACAGCCACTCTTAGTCAGTCAGCAAACACTGACTCTCCATCATGTCCTGGATGCTGGGGATACAGACGTGAATCAGGTGAAGTATCTGCTAATAGTGTAGTGAGCTAAGGGAAACACTGAGCAGATGGTTATTGCAAGGTCTAGTGATGCACAGAGTATTGCGGAAGCGCGGTGCGGGGCGGGGAGGTCAGTCTTTATTAGGCCTTTTAGGGTCTGCCTCTCATTTGATATTCTTTCTTTGTGTTAAAACTCTTTAATACTTGTTTGTACTTCTTGAGGTACTTACCATCTTTTGCCATATATTTTATTCAACTAAATACTTGTCTTATTCTTTTTTCTTTCTTTCTTTCTTTTTTTTTGTTTTCTTTTTTGAGACAATCTTGCTCTGTCACCCAGGCTGGAATGCAGTGGCGCCATCTTGGCTCACTGCAAGCTCTGCCTCCCAGGTTCAAGCGATTCTCCTGCCTCAGCCTCTTGAGTAGCTGGGATTACAGGCACACACCACCACATTCAGCTAATTTTTTTGTATTTTTAGTAGAGACGGGGTCTCACCATGTTGGTCAGGCTGGTCTCGAACTCCTGACCTCGTGATCCACCTGCCTTAGCCTCCCAAAGTGCTGGGATTACAAGCGTGAGCCACCATGCCCGGCCCTATTTGCCTTATTCTATCAACTATAAGACCTATGAGGAGAGGTTCCATGTGTCTCTGTATCACTTTCCTCACTGTCTCCCATCCATCTAGTAGTTCCTGACACATGGTAGGTGCTCAGTCCATTTTAATTCTTTTGGAATTGATTTGAATCCTCACTATCGCACTGTCTACTTTTGGAGTGCCAGAGACTTAGCCATAGTCAGTCGTTAATAAACCTTGGGCTGAACTGATCCCATGCTGGTGTGCGCATGCATGCCCCCCTCTTCACCAGCTTTCTCCTAACATGAAATTGCTCACTCTTGCCTCTGTTGGTTACTGGGCAGTGTAATTGGATGAATGCGTTAGACTGTGCTGAGAATTTAAACACTGGTTTTGGCTTCTGTTGCTTTCCCTTTGGGCCAAATTTCCCATCACTTATCTGTCCGTGTTTTCTTTACCATAGCTCTTTATTTTTATTTTTTGACTTTTATTTTTTATTTATTTTTTTTGAGATGGAGTTTTGCTCTTGTCACCCAGGCTAGAGTGCAATGGCATCATCATGGCTCACCGCAACCTCCACCTCCCAGGTTCAAGTGATTCTCCTGCCTCAGCCTCCCGAGTAGCTGGGATTACAGTGCCCACCACCACGCCCAGCTAATTTTTGTATTTTTAGTAGAGACGGGATTTCATCATATTGGCAGGGCTGGTCTCGAACTCCTGACCTCAGATGATCCACCCACCTCGTTCTCTCAAAGTGCTGGGATTATAGGTATGAGCTACCGTGCCCAGCCTCTTTGCTACAGCTATAAAATTGGATATAAAACCACCCAGAAAAAAAAAAACAAAACACATTTCTTTTTAAGCTGCCCCCTGCTTGCTTTTTCCCTTCCACAGAGCTCAGTGGGAATGAGTGGCTGAGTAAGAGGGGACATAGAAGAGAGTAGCATGGGGAGGTGATGGCCTTCCCACCTCTCACCTATTTGCGGGAGAGCGTTGATTATTCGACAGTCTGTGGATCCTGTAAGTGATGGGAAGCACAGGGAAGCCTATTGCCTAGCCAGAGAGTTTTAACTTCCATGTTATGTAAGTGAATTATTTATACTCAGACTGAGAGCAAAATCGCTATCATATCTGCCTCTCTCCCAGGCAGAGAGTGCTATCTCCTTGTTATGAGAACAAGCGTTTTGAGCAACTGAAAAAACATGAAGACAGATAAAAGGAAACTATCACTAAGGTTACGGTTTTCTCCCTTGGAAAAGATTCTCCTTAGGGAAGGTTTGGAAGAGATAATAGTGTTCAGACCAGCATATTGGTCTTGATGCTGTGTCTTCTCTGTGCCTCTCAATCTTATCCTACTTTTGAAAGTCTTAGAAAAGAACAGAAGAATGACCTCTGCCCACCCTTCTCACCTAGACCCACCTAGCAGCTGCAGTTTGTATCCATCGACCTTTCTCTGGCTCTTTTTCTTTAACCGTTTCTCTGCACAGAAAACTTAGGCCACGGATATTTCAAGTACATGTCAGCAGTGTGCTGGCTCTTTGGGCGTCACCTGTATGACACTCTGCAGTATCCCATCGGGCTGATCGCCTCCAGCTGGGGCGGGACACCCATTGAAGCCTGGTCATCTGGACGGTCACTGGAAGCCTGCGGGGTTCCTAAACAAGGGTAAGACAGCATTCTCCAGTCTGAGAAAGAGCCTACCAGGGAATTATGTAAGAGAGAGGGTCATGGTCCTCTGTGGGGAGTTAAGTATATGTTGAATGTCCCCATATGTGTCGAATGTATGTAATTTATTCATGCACAGGGAAAGCATTATTCTCACTGTCATTGCCACCACAATCGTTTGAGAACATGTAAAAAAATTATCTTTTTCCCTAATAATAGTAATAGCTAGTGGTTACTGAAAGCTTTTTATATGCCAGACACTGTGCTAAGCACTTTATATATATTCATTATTAATATTTTGAATATATATTATTATATATTAATATACTGAAGTGTAGACATTAGAGACCAAATTTCAGAGAGATTTAGTAACTTGCTCATGGGCGTGACTAGTAAGTGGCAAGTCTGGCTTCAAGGTCTGTGCCCCTCACCATTGTGCTGTATTGCCTAGAAGAATAAACAATCTAACAGGAAGAACAAATGTTGTAAACATGTACTCAGAGAAATGTATCAGTACACTGACTGTGAACACCCGCTTAGGAAAGGCTGGATCAGGAAGAATACTTGGGGAGGGAAAGGGCTAGCGAATACAAATCCTGATACTAACATCGATGTAGAGATGAGCAGTATGTGACCTGCTTTCCCGGACCGTGTCTCATTCACGCTGGGAAGGCCTGTGGGAGGAGGATGGGCTTGAGCTCTTGGTATAGTTTGGGTAAAAGCTTGCCTGCGGGGGAGTGAAGATATTCAACTTGGAACAGGAAGAATGGCCTGCAGTAGAGTAGGAGTGAGCGTTAGACCAGCTCTCTGGGGGTGGAAGGGATAATCCTGAGGGTGTGGGGATGTGGGCTTCTCACACGCAGCAGCTACAGGATAAATTCATATAAATATTCCACAGAGAAATCTGAGAACGTGTTCAGAGCCTTAAAAAAGATGCCCTTTGCCACAGCAGTTTCATTTCTGGGAATCTGTCTTATGGATATAGTTAAGCATATATGCAATGACTTAGCTATAAGGAAGATACTCCTGGCATTGCTTATAAAAGCAAAAAGTTTAAAACAACCTAAATGTCTGTCCATTAAATGAAGGTTTATTTAAGAAAAGTTAAGTGAATGTATTGCTCCCCCCTCCATGTGAGATACTCAACAATAAAACACTCTTTCTCTGTGGCTTTAATTACCTTAGAAATTACCTTTAATTACCATAGACAGCTGACTGATACACTTATTTTGGGAATAACCCAGAGGTGAAATTCAGAGAATATTCACATATTTTCAAGAGAAGGAGTTTCCATTCAATTTTAATTCTGTGTTGCTTTCATCAGAAGTTTGCCACAAGTGAAAGTGGATAGATGCCCAATTAGGGACCCTTAGGTGATCAATCACTGGCTCTCTGGTGACACTTGTGCATCGTATGATTTCAGGTCCGTTCCATATAATTCCGTAACTGGTCCCAGTAAGCACTCTGTCCTCTGGAATGCCATGATCCATCCACTGTGCAATATGACTCTGAAAGGGGTGGTGTGGTACCAGGGTAAGTGTTCAGTGTACTCTTTCTCCATTGTATCAGATAGCATTTGCTGTGTAACACAGCACCCTAGAACGTAGTGGCTTAAAGCAACAATCACTTTATAATTTTATTCAGCTCACTGTTCTGCGGCTTAGCAGGTAGTTTTTATGTCTGGGCTGCTTCAGCTATTTCCTGCTTGGACCTCGTTTGTGTCTTTGCCCACCTGGCAGATTGTCTGGTGACTGGATGACCTAGGATGGTCTCTCCCTAGATGTATTGTCTGGGGGCTGTTGCAACATCGTTCTGAGGTGGCCTCTTATCCTTTAGCAAGCCAGTATAGACTCATTTGTTGTTTATATAATAGTCTCAGGATTCCAGGGTCATCAGGAGAGGGCAGAGCCCAAACTTGAAGTACTTTTCAAGCCTCTGCTTGTATCACATTTGCTGATGCCCCATTGGCTGGAAAAAGGCCAGTCCAGAGAGACTGTGGGAAGACCACTACCTCAGGGCATGGATAGAGGGAGGAGAGTAATGTGTGGTCCTTTTTGCAGTCTACTCCAAACTCCCCTTGCAATTTGGACTGTTTTTAGGGGAGTCCAATATAAATTACAACACGGACCTGTACAATTGCACATTCCCTGCACTCATCGAAGACTGGCGCGAAACCTTCCACCGTGGTTCCCAGGGGCAGACAGAGCGTTTCTTCCCATTTGGATTTGTCCAGGTACGATGTGGGTAAAGGCTTCTCTGTCCGTGTCAACACCTGTTCCTGTGTTGAGAGGAAGAGGTTTAGGGGCATTGGTGTGGGGATGTGCTATTTAGATCTCTTTCCTGGAGTTCATCTTCCTTTTTCATCCTCATAACGTGCTGGTCAGGAACTGAATGTAAGGCTTAGTTCATCTCAGTTCACTGATAGGACAATTAAATCTTCAAAAAAGTTGATAAGTAACTAATATTTCTTATTAAAAAAGGATTACAGTTTCATTGAGGAAATATCAAAAAGATAAGCAAAAAAGAAGCTAAAAACATTGATAATGTTCCAATCCAGAAATAAGCAGCTCTCTTCTGCTCATTTATTGTTGAATAGATCTGTACGATATCTTGCATTTTTCTCTTTAAGTAATATTTCAATTAGAGATAAGTAGTAAACATTTTTTTCATGTCAATAAATATTAATCTTCAATGCAGTTTGTAATGATTGTAGAGTCTGAAATATGGTTATATTGTAGTTGATTTAACTAGCTCTCTATAGATTGGGCATTTAGATTGTTTTAAACATTTTGCTTTAATAAGCTTTGGCATGTTTATTTTCCTTGTTGCTCATTGCATGTATGCTTGATTATTTCCATAAGGTAAAGTCCCAGAAATGAAATTTCTGGGTCAAAAGGTACACCTTGATAAGGCTTTGAACATGTCCCCAGATTTCTCTGTAGAAATTCATGAATTTGTATAAATTTACACTCTTAGCAACTGTCTGTGAGAATGTCCACTTCCCCACCCCTTCCCCAGCTTGGTGTTATCCCTTCCACTCCCTGGGATCCACCATGCTCTCTCACTCCCAGGCCATTGCCTTGCTCCTTACTTTCCATACTTTCCTAGTTAACTTTAATCACCCTTTAGGTCTCAGCCTACATATTAGTTAGGAAGCCTTTTGTGACTATCCAGAGTCTGGGTTAGATGTCCCCTTTCTCTCTACTTCCCCTTTTTATTTGCATGAGGTTGCCTATGTGACTACATTTTCCTGGGTCACACTTACATCCCTAGAATGTGTGTAGTTGATTGGCACTCATTAAATAGCGGCTTAACACGTGAATGAAAAAAGATAGCAAGAGAAACCATACATTTAATTAGAGATAACTAGTCAGAAAGATTCTGCTTTCAGCCTTGCATAAAAAGAATAAACATATTTGACCAAGTTCATAATTGCCTAGCCTCCACATGTTCATATGACCTAAACTTTTTAGCAGGGTGGTAGTGCTGGTTTTTCTAGAACATAAGAAATCAAACAAGTAAGGTGATATAAAAACAATGCCCACCTTACAACATGACAACAGAGTAGGCTTCACTGTGTAAATGAGACATCCATGGTCCCAGACACCTACCTACCTCCGCACGCCCCACAGATGCCTTCTCACCATCCTCCCAACTCCCCTACCTTGTCCTTTTCACTGTACCTTTTTTGAATATTTGTATAGACCTTTTCACTTAAAATACCTTTATGATTATTTTCTTTCTTCTTTCCTACATTTGTCCTGACTTTGAAATGAGATTATTCTGCTCATTATTTTCAGAGTAGCAGCTCCTGTCACCAGTTCTGCATCCCTGTTGGTGGAAACTACACTTGGCCCTTGGAAGTACTTTTTTCTCCCTTGGCCTGTGCATGTGGTGATTTGAGTATGACTTTAGCCAACTCACACCAAAAGTATGTGTCAAATGCTTATTATATGCTGTGAATCTTGTGAGGTGCTAGAAATATAGCAATCAGGCCGGGCGTGGTGGCTCACGCTTGTAATCCCAGCACTCTGGGAGGCTGAGGCGAGCGGATCACCTGAGGTCGGGAGTTTGAGACCAGCCTGACCAACATGGAGAAGCCCTGTCTCTACTAAAAATACAAAATTAGTCGGGCGTGGTGGCGCATGCCTGTAATCCCAGCTACTCTGGAGGCTGAGGCAGGAGAATCGCTTGAACCCAGGAGGCAGAGGTTGTAGTGAGCACTGCACTCCAGCCTGGGCAATAAGAGCAAAACTCCATCTCAAAAAAAAATAAAAAAGAAAAGAAAAAAAAGGAAAAAGAAGTATAGCAACCGGAAAGACCTGGTTCTTGTACTTATGCCTTACAATTTAGTGAAAGTCCCTTAATCTCCAGGCTTTCACTTTATTATCACCAACAAAAACATGCTGGTTACTAGTGGAAGTCTGGAAATATAAACATATCCCTTCGAAGGGAAATACCCAGCATGACAACATAATGTTTCGGACTGAGTCTGAGCGAGACTAACTGCATTCCGATGCTAGCTCTGACCCTTGTGGAGCTACGTGTTTTTGAACACGATACTGGACTTTTGTTATTTCAAATATTGAGTGAGTTCATCCATGTAAAGCCTGGAACATACCAGGTAATGTTAGTGTTGAATATTGTTGATAGAGAAATCAGAAGATCTGGAGGGACAGTTGGTCTGTCAGGAAAGAGGAACTGGCTTCATAGAAGTGCTAAGAGTGAAATGATGGTTGCAGTGACTAGAATACAGCTAGAGATGGAGGATGTGAGCTCCATGGAGACACCAGGGCTGGACACGTGTATCCCAGACTGGTTAGTAGAAAGGCCACCTGGAACCTGAGAGAGAAAGAACAGGAGGCTAAGGGCTGGAGTCCCAGGGAGTGTGGTTTTTAAACAGGGATTTCGAGGAACCGTTGAACATACCGCAAACTGCAGCATGTTATTTGTGAGCGTGGCCAGCTTTATATTCTCTGGCTGGTCTACGCCTTTATTAGCCGCAGTATTTCTACCACCCACTGTGGGAGACCGATTAGTGCCCCACTGTGTCTCAGGTTAGGAAAACCGGAATTTCATTTGGGTGTGGAGTACGCCGGTGCCCCCATGTGGCGAGTTTGTAGTAGTGCAGTCAATGAAAGAGTGAATTGCTGCAAGAATTCTCAGCAAACTGCCATTTTGAGAAAATTCCCTTGGCTTGAGGGGCTGTTGTTAGCATTGCTCCCTGTTGAGCTTCAGGCTAGTTTTTTACCACAGTTCTTTCCTGTGACTTGTTACTGTGATCTTCATTATGACCCTGGCTGGCGCACGTGGTTCCACTTTGTCTTCTGGGTGTTGTGTGGAAGAAGTAGGGTGACTTAATAGATTTTTAATTCCCATTTTCTAGTCTTCATGAGATTCCACTGTGAGGCTTCAGCGGCACCTTTTATCATTTCCTATGTTAAAGCTGATTTGCCTAAGAGAATTTTAATAAGAGAATTGGAAATGGCCTATTAGTTCCATATCATATCCAAGGCTCCTTTCTGTTATTATTGCAACCTCTCCGTGTTCTCCTGATGATTTTCTCATCTTTCTGGAGCAACTCAGAGAGCAGAAAATATCCTCGATTCAAAGTTGCATTTGGCCACATTCGTAGGGATGATGTCAGGTATTTTCTGGGCTGTGTGAGTAATAAGGCTGGGTGGAACAGTCTGTGTAAAATGCAGTCCTCTGATGGGGTCAGACATTTTGAAATGGAGTCAAAAAAACAATGTTGTTGCTGGGCCAGACTGCTTCCCAGTTTGTGGTTTGACTTACAGTTAGATCATGGTTTGTAAAAGAGAGATAATAGGTTGATGCCTCTCATTGGCTGGAACTGGTGCTAAGAATAAGATACTATCTAAATCAAAGGACAGGGTGATCTGAGTAAACATCAGAAAAAGAAGGAAGAAATAGTTGGACTGCATGTATCATAGTAATAGTAAAGATTTTTTCTGGGAGCCTCTGTGTTTTGCAGGAGTAGGAGTATATCAACTTTCCGTTTAGATGAAAACAAATCCTGTTAACTCACTCTGCATTCAGAATCTGACCACTTCTCACTACCTTTACTCTTCCTACGCTAGTCTAAGCCACCATCATCTCTCCCTTGAATTAGTGCCTCCTAACTGGTCTTCTTCCTGCTTCTACCTTTTTTTCCTCCTCCTTTAGGATATTCTCAATATATCAAAGTGACCCTCTGAAGTGTAAGTCAGGTCGGAAGGCTCCAGTGGGTCTCCGTGTGCTGAGGTCAGCAAGGCCATACATGACGTGCCCACTGCCTGCATTACCCGCCGACCTCACCTCCTAATTCTCTCTGCCTTGCGTACGCCACTTCAGCCACACTAGCTACCTTACTTTTCTTTAAGCACGCTAGGCGTACTACCGTCCTGGGGCCTGCCATTTTCTTTTCCATTCTGCCTGGAAAGTTCTTTTCCTGCTATTTTAGTTTTCTATTGCTGAGCAAGAAATGACTGCGTATTTTACGGCTTAAAACAATACAACACACACTTATTATCTCAGTTTCTGTGGGTGAGATGTCTGGGCCTGCAGGGCTTAGCTGGATCTTCTGCTGAGGGTGGAAGTGAAGGTGTCAGACAGAGCTGGGGTCTCATCTGAGGCTTGGAGTTCTCCTCCAAGCTCATGTGGTTGTCGGCATAACTCACCTCCTTGAAGCTGTAGAACTCATGGCAGTTTACTTCTTGATGCCAGCAGGGGAGGGGGCTGGCTTCTAGAACCTCTTTGAAAAGACTCACCTGATTAGGTCTGGCTCACCATGATACTCTCCCTTTTGATGAATGTGAAGTCAGCTGACTGGGGACCTTACTTGTAACATCTGCAAAATCCCTTCACTTTTGCCATATACAACATAATCACAGGAGTGATAACCCATTACCTTTGCCATAGCCTATTAGTTAGAATCAAGTTACGAGTTCCCCCTACCACAAAGAGGAGAGGATTGTATAAGGATGTGGCTCCCTGTAGGTCATCTGCCTGACATACCCAGATATCCTCATAGCTTCTTCGCGCATCTCCTTCTAGTCTTTGTTCAACTCTGACACTCTCTCCTCCTTCCCTATTATATTTTTCTCCAGTGCACTTGTCACTTTCTCATAGGATATGTAGTTTACAGATCTATCTTTTTATTCGTTATCTCTCTCCACTAGAATATAAGAATGGGAAGGGATTCTTGTGTTTTGTTCACTGCTCTATCTTCTAGGCTGGTATTAGTGCATGACACAGAGTAGGTGCTCAGTAAATATTTGTTAAAAGCATGAATAAATAAATGAGCTGATTGATAATACATGAGCTGTGGATCCTTCACAGGCTCTTTCTGGAACAATATTATTCCCCAGATATTCTGGTGCTACTTGGATGCCTGAGATGCCACACAGTTCATTCAGATGCCGTGGCTTCCGAATGATGGATTTTACCCTTTCTCTTGTGCCCCACATCCAGTTGGTTGCCTAGTTTTGTCAGTTATTATTATTTCTCATCATCCCATTCCACTACTATCTCTGTAGATTAGACCTTTGTTTTTGTGTCTAGCATATTATAATAGCTGCTTAACTAATCAGTCTCTCTGTGTTAAGTCCTTTATTTT